TATTTCCGCAGTTTGAGACAGCGATCTTGTGAAACCATTTTTTTCATGCAACATCTTTTCTGATGCCGCCGGAGTCAGAATGTTCCTGGAATAATCTGAGTATACTATCCCCAATATGTTGTAATTTCATGATTGATGCAATATGCAATACTAGGACCCATAGTCAGAAACAAGCATTACTTTTACAACAAATTGATGTTATTTCAATGGAAATAATTTTGAACCTTCTATTTAAAGAACGTTTCAAACATTTAAATAGCTACGACTATTCCGTATTTTTAGTAATTTATTCAACACAAACCTGTAACACTAATGTACTAACAAATTAAAGATTCAGTGTATTAAAATTTAAATTATATAGTTTATATTTTTTTAAATATATTCCTGTGTATACAAAATTATTTAAAACTGATAAAACTGTGCAAACACATAAAAAACCTGTGTTTCAACGACAAAGACTACGAAGACGCCTGCATAGCGAGGGAAATACAGATATCACACTTGAGATAACATGTTATGTACTTTAACACTGTATGTATGTAAACGCGTAGAAATGTGGAATGTTTTAGATTTTCATTCAATAATTTCACATTTCTTGTATCAGTAATAGGATATTTAGGATCTTCCACTGATTCAGATTTTTTTTATGAATTTTAGCATGATATGTAGATCGTAAGTTGTGGTCTAGCGTTGTATTTGATAAAAATGATATTTTGTTATATATTGTAAAAATTAAGTTTTGAAATATGTGATTTAGGGTTCTAAAATATACCTCAATGTGTAAAATTGGGATATTTTGGACAAAAATGGACAAATACGAATAAATTTGAGTGTCTTAATACAATTTTAATGAAAAAACGGAAATATTTAAAAATCTAAAAATTGTGGTTCTAAATAATTTGGGCCAGTACGCCCCTTTTCCGTACTAGATTAAGCATTTTTATTTTAAGTAATATTACGATCCCATTAATTTAAAGACAGTTATTCTATTAAAAATTATGTGTCACAGGCATTCTATTTGGTCTAATTAGCTAATAAGAACGTTTCGACGATATTGTCGGTCTTTTTCAAGTACTAGAGACATGTTTAAATTGTTTTGTTTGTTGAAAGGTCAACTTCATTTTAAAATGTCTTAAACATTACCACTGAGATAAATGTGCTGTTTTGATAAAAAAAAAAAAAGGGTATTTAAATGAAGTCTTCAATATATAAGATAACTTGACAAGAAAAAACATGTTCTGTGAATGGTCAGGTTGACACCTCTTGTAACCAACCAATTAGACCAAATAGCACATCTGCCATAATTAAATAATATTTAAAAGAATAACTCTTTAAACAGTGGGATCGTAATATTAATCAAAAACAAAGTATTAGACAGTTATAACCAACAAATAAAGCATTTTTGTTTGGTCATTGGAGAATGATTGCCTAGACGAAGAATTTTCCTTGCGCTCTCTTCACAACTTGATTTGTGTGACAATAGTTACCTGTGCTGAATTGTTCTGTTTTGTTTTTTTTGTTGTTGTTGTTCTTTTTTGGATAATTTACAAGTTGGTTTACAAGGACTAGTTGCTGCTGTTGAACAGAAAGGTCATCCGACTCGATTACGCGGCACCAGAAATGGAGAGAAACTGCAGTTTTCCACAGTGTAGTACAACAGAGCGTTCTCGTTAACGGGATGCGCACCACAGACAAATTCTTCTTGCGGATTTCCTTGCAGTATATTTTTAAATTTGAGGGATGTTTGATCGCGTTCTGGTTCCAGTGATATAAAAATTTAAGTGGCGGAACTCACAGGATCGAAAAATCACGGCAATATCTTATTAGTCCGCTAAAATTATCACTTTTTGTTTAAAAAATTATCGCATTGATCTAGCATTAAGCGATACAACCAGTGTTTCTTTTGCCCAATGAACATATCGAATATTTTGTCCAGTTTAATTGACACTGTACCTGTATTATATGGCACTACTAATTTGCCTCATCTTTCATATAAAATAGGTAAAGAAATGGATTTCTTTCCTCCTCTTAGGAAACTCGCACGCACCGATGATATTGTAGATATTTTGCTCTTCATAGAACGAGAACCAAGAGATGTAGTCTAAAGTCTGCAAAATAGGAATATGCCAGGGCCTGATGACATGGCAGCACAAGCCTTGAAAATAGCGGCGCAAAATTGTCCGATTCTTCTGTTGCGTGAAGTCAGCCTAAAAAAAGGATATCCTTCCTAAGCGATGAAAGAAACAGCGACTGGTCCTTGCGATTAAGAATTATTAAGGGTGGGCCATATCCACTATCCTACCTCTGTCCCCATGTCACGGCTGGGAAGCTAATCTAAAGTTAATCACAACTCTTCGCATTGACGGACATCTATTCGACAACTATTACTATTTCAGTACTAAGTGACAGACTTTCAAGACAGGTTTTCAGACGCAACCAAAGCTCCATTGGAAGCCGTAGACGACATGCGGCAAGAGCACCACAGCAAACTAGTGATGTTAGCCAGACATCCTGCGTCCACACGCTACACAGCAATCTGCAATCTGAAGCTCGGGAATTTTCTCCTGCTTCAAAGGGTTAAAGACCATTCTCGGTAGTGGGTTAATTAATTAGTTGGTGATGCCAGATCAACTGCTCAGGTCATTAGTCTCGTACATGTAGTGCATGTTTTTATCGCGGGAGGTGGCGGTGATCTTTGCCCGCTGAATGGAGATCCGGCGTTAACTTACATATCGGCTAGCGGGATTTCCCCTACCAGGTATCACCCACTAAGGAGCACAGCCCCAGCTGAAACCAGCTCTAAGCTCCGAACATGTGCAGTAGTGTAGTGCATTTAGGTGTGTGTATGTACAAGGAAGGGATGAGGATAGGGCAAGGAAGAGGAAGGAAATCTCGCGCTGTCCATGGCTCTTTTTGTACCGCACTTCCCTGGCATTCGCCTGGCGTTAATCAAAGAAATCTACCGATCAGAGCAGCCGGCCGCTACAATTCTCCAGACAGTGGCTGCATTCAACCTATCTAGTGTCGAAAATCCTGCCACCGTTGGGGCTCAAATCTAGGACTTCCCAGTAAACGAAATTGAAAGAACATTAATTGATGTCTTGAGCCACATCTTATTATAGGACCCTGGTAACGAAAAAGTTGTTATATCCAGTTGCTAAATTTAGAAGAAAAAATCCTCCAACACGAAGCCAGAATCTGTTTTGTGGGTCGAATGACGCAAAACGTTTGTCTGTGAACAACGCTAGCGGCTAAACCGTTCAGCCTATTTTCTCCAAAACTGATATTCCCCAGTCGATCTGGCTGATATCACGGCCCCTGGAATTTGAAACCGATATTTCAATTTTGGGGGTACTTTACATGAATCCTATGGGACGTTATCCAAATTTTCAACAAGTTCCGAGGATTGTTGCCCCAACATCAGGCTGTAAAATTGAATTTTGAAATTTCATAGTACAAATTTAAAATTATTTACAATAAAATATTAAAATAGAGAAATTATGACAGAAGAGAACTTACCAGACACATGAGCGCAATTTTAACACTTGTTACTTAAAAGTTTCGTGAGAAGTTAAAATTATTAGTAATTAAATTTTTTTTGGAGGTGATGGGGAGGGGAAGTTTCCCTCATCCCCCGTTTGATCAGCGCCTGGTACACTGATCAACCATAACGTTCCTCCTCGTTCCACACATACATACATAAAAATGTTATCATTACCTACACCTCAATACCAACGGGGTTGTTAATCACAATTCGCAGGTTCCTTTCACCGGAATTTGTTATCGGGACGGCGACGCACAAGGTCGCTTAAATTTTCCGTGTTTTCATCCTAGCGGCATTAGGAAGGGCAGTGCCGGCGCTAGACAACTTTGGGCATGGGGCAATGCTGAAACGTAGCGCCCCCCCCCCTCTCCAAAAAAAATTAAAATGTGAAAGTTGTTTCATGAAACAATGAGTTCTTTGATTTCAACAAATCAACAAAAATTACGTTCAAGGTAGAAAAAGTTTTTGGAATAATCTAATAATACAATTTCCACTGATCTTAAAACATTAATAAATTGTATTTAGTGTTTAATAAAATCACTTCTTAAATACATGAAATACTAATATGACTGTCAGTGGAACCTATTTTAATCATAGTGTCATTTGATTAATTTCATTGAGTCCTACCGTAGAAGTAATTTTAAGGTAAAAAATTAATTGAAAATGATATGAAATATCAGACTCCTGTACTGTGACAAAAGATTATGTCAACAATTTTCTTGAATTCTAATTTCCTTTTCAATTCCAACTTTTTTTCTCCTTATTTACCCATCAGTCTCTTCATCGGGCCCATTGACAATCGTCTGCTCTGCACATACCTCGCGCTGGCACTGAGGAGGGGTGTAACACATAAGCAAAGATAAGTACTCTCTCCATGAAGCTGTTTTACTTTCACGAATGATTCTTCTCCTCATTACCATTTTTATTCTACGAGGTATTCAACAGATGGAAAATAGTTCAGTCATGGTAGAGCCTTCTTCCAGGCCCTGATTGCTTTTGCACAATGAGTTCCACCATGGTATTTGATTAGGTGACATTTCAGTCTGCCAGTAGAGGAGTGGAAACTGAAAGCAGCGATTTAGTACAAGATAATAAAACACAGGTCTAATTTTCATTGAACTTTCTTAATTTTCGAATATTGCAAAGTTAGAAATAATGAAAGTTTATGCTGTTGTAGCTTCACTAGTTTTATTTCAAAATCCAATTTCGAGGAATGTTCTGCAGTAGCATATTGTAAACTCATTGAAACTTAGTAACTCATTTGTAACTTCTGTATAATGGGCTTCTGATGTTGTTGTAGGGCTTATCAGGACCCTCAAGTGATGGTTAATAAAGAAAATTAATTAAATTTAATTATTTATTATTATTTGTTTTTAGTAGTATGTGTTTTATTGTATGCAGAATAAAATATTGAATAAACTTTCAAAAGACACGCAAGAACTTTGGTGTAATTACACCCATTTCAAGCTACTATTGTGCAGTAACAATCATTCAGGCAGGGTCAATGCGAGCAACAGAACCAATATTCAAATTTGATCTCTCATGAATTCACCAAACTAGCTTCCGATGCGAAAAATATTGAAATTTATGAATTACAGTTACTTACAATTAGAGAAAAAAATTAATATATATCAAATTTTCAAAATGGAATATATAAAAACAAAATATTTTATTACAACCTCTTTCAGTACAGTGCATTTAACACAAAAGTGATTCAGTTTAAATATCATATCACATAGGGTATAAGTTACAACATCAATCTTGAAGATACATCAGTTGCTTTTTCTTTACTATTTGCTATTCTTGAACCAAACTGAAAGGCTCTTTTTGGAATTACAGCTGCGTTCTTCAGACCAAGTTTCCATGCAGCTAACCTTAATATTAATTTGTCACCAAAACCTGGAGGTAATTCATAAGATGGGTAACACCTAGAATGAATAATTTTACATTAAATCTTAAATGAAAAAGTGCTTTGTCATTCATTTATGATTCCAAATATACAATTAGATGTTAATTGCAACTTCAAGACATAATCATGAACCAACATACAGGATTATTTTTGTTCCAGGATGGGCTAAAGCTCTCCAAGTCTTACTTTCAGTAATGTGCCTGGATAAAGGCAAGATCATAAAATCAAAGTTGGCTATGGGCTGGATACAAAATTCGGATGATTATTGACAACAGTTGGGCAAAATACATTAAAAAAAGTATTTCATATACAAAATACTTCGTTAAAAGTGTATTTTATTGGTAGTAAAATATTTTTGATACCAAATATAAAATACTTCCATAAAAGTATTTAAGATACAAAAGAGTATTTTAAAATACATTTGAAAATACGAAACAAACCAGTAGTGCTCTAATAGACCGGCGCGGAAGATCCGCAGAGGAAATTTCCGCGAAGGTCATTGGGTGCGTATAGTGTTCCAGTTTCACAATTCATTTCTCAAACCGTGGTTGTGGTTTACAATTGGACACATTTCCCTTCAACACTAGACATTTTTAATTTCTCCTATTCTTACGTATATACAGAGTACAATATACGTAGTATAGAGAAAATTATGTAATGCTGCGTGAAAAAAAGGCGGATTTTCGGTAGGATATTAATTATTGCTGGGCCTTGATTACGAAATTGTGAATACAGTTGTTAAATTAAGAAAAAATATTTTAACACTCGGTATAGCTCTGTTTTGTGGGCCCTTAATACCGATAAACCAATTGACGGCAAAATGTGTCTGTCTGTGAACACCACTAGCACCTAAACCATCCGTAGGATTTTTTCCAAATTGAAGAAATCCCTGTCCATCTGGCTCAAGTCAAAGCTTTGAGATTTTGAAAAACATTCCTTTATATTTGGGGGAACTTTACATGAAGCCCCTGGCACATTTTCAAAATGCTCAAAATCTGCTCCAAATTTTTTCTTTAAATCACTTGTAAGAATGGAGTAAGATACACTTATAAAGGTGGCATAGGTCTGATCTTTACTGTTAACTCTGAATTTTCGAAAATTTCAAAAGTTCAAATTTTTTCAGCAACGTCCTACAACAATATTGAAGATAAGATTTTTCTTCAAATATAAATTTGTTGTTGATGCCTGACAATCTGGCCTGAGTTGAAACTCTGAGATTTTGAAAAGCATTCATTAATTTTTGGGGGGTACTGTATACTGAAACCCTTGAGATATTTTCAAAATTTTATCAAAAATAGCTCAAAATTTTTTCTTTTAATTTCATGTAAGAATAGAGTAAAGTACACTTCATAATTAGTTCTTTAAGTAAGTTCATGTACATTTTTTTTGAAAATTTGAGAATTTTCACACAATATTGTGCAATATGTCCAATTTTAAAAAAGAACAAAAACACGATTTTCTCAAAAATGGTACCAAATTTATTCTTTAAACTCTTGGTAGGGATAGTACTAAATGTACTTTTTAAGATTTAAAAATAACATCTGAAAGTATTTTCAATACAACTACAAAATACACATTCAAATGTGGATTTTCGATATAAAGTACAAATTACAAAAGTATTGAAAATACATATTTTAAATAAAAGTATTTTCGATATTGCCCAACTCTGTCAACAAGACATTACTAATATAGCTAGTACAGCAAAACCTTTTGAAGAAAAAATTCAATATGAAGTCTAAGAAACAAGAAGATATAAAGCATCATGATTCAATTGAAGCCCTGGGTGGGAGATGCTAAAAGACATATATGGGCATAGACTGGATTAGAGACAGAATTCAAGAGCTTATTTTCAAAGTGACATATCACCATGAAACAAATTTTCAGGAAAGGAAAGAATTCATATTCAACCTTATAACTCAAGATAGGATTCAACAGTTTTTGTATTTGGGTTAACATAGGACAAACACAATACTTGAAGATAATATTTGACAGCATGATGAAGAAGCAACTTTAGAAAATATTGTTTCATAAAACAAGAAAGCAAATGTAAACCGTGATACATCACTTTGGAAATTAGCTCTTTAATTAAAGAGGTCTAAATCTGTAATAAGATCATCACAATAGTATTAATAGTCATACATGCTGGTTGTCAGAGTATTAGATAGATACCTTTTCCATATTGGAAGAGTGCCAACAAAGTTGATCACATCTTCATCAAGAAATGGAAATCTAGCTTGACATCCATGATCACCCACAATACGATCATCTCTGCCCAGATTACGAGTTGCAATACGTTGTAATTCTACATCTACTTCTTCTGCAAGGGCTGACCATCCTCTGTGTCGCAGAGTTGTCCTATGTCTCATGTAGCCTCCAAACTGTTCATCAGCTCCCATTCCCAGGAGCAAAATACGGGCTGGAGAAGAATATTCCGAGTCCCCCAGTATTCCATGTAACTGACAAGCGAACCATAAAGCACATCCTAAACTGTCATCCAAGATGGACACTAATGGATGAATTAGATCTCCTATCCTTGTTTTTCGAAAATTATTTACTTCTTCTCGGGAAACATTAATCTGGAAGGAAAGTAACAATTAGAAATATATTACAATAAATATACACAAAACAAGTTCAGAATGTGAACAGACCTGAATGAAATTCCACCGTCTTTGTGGAAAAATAGATTGCAGTTCTTTCGAAGACTGAAATCCTGTAGTTCTATCTGGAGTATGGAAATGGGGACTGTTCTGCAGGCTTTTGCTTTGATTTTCAAAAGCAACATTAAACAAATCGATTGTATCATGAGGTGGTATACTCTCATGTGCTAATGCAGCTATTACAGTGGAATCTAAACCACCTGAAAATAATATCCCGATTTTAGGATGAGAACATTCACCTACATTACTTTGCAAAACCATGTTATCTTTCAGACAGTTTCTGCATTTCCCAGGATGAGTCTTGGTTCTTATCATTACTGCTTTCCTGAGACAATGAAGCAATTGTTCCACTTTATCTGATATTACAGTCTGAGACAAAAGTGCATCAAAGATACACCTTGTAACAACAGCCTCAGTAATAATTTGGGAATATTCTGCAGACGGACTATACGGTTCTGGACACTTTGCTTGAATAGGAGATTTCACGATTAATTCTGATACCCTTATAGGGATAGGCCAGTTCTGTAAAGTATGCAATTCCATTTCTGATGTATCTGACCAAGGATACACAGTAAGATTGAAAAACTCTGTAAGAAAGTAAGATACAAAACAGTTTACAACAGTGTAGAATTACATAGTGAAGATGTACACGCAAAACATACATCGGTTTGTTTTCGCTGTCAATCATTTTTACCTTTTGAGAAGTCAATTACAAAGATACCAACAACTGGGACTTCTATAAAAGGTAAATTTCTTTTCCCAACAGATGTCAGTATAAAAGAATGATTGTCTTCAAAATAGCATAGAAGACTGTGCCTTCCAATATGGTCTCTTCCAAACCATAACATTTGGGTACTTTCACACCAGTATACAAATGAATAAGGTCCCTTAATTGAAGATATTGACAGTAAAATATTTTCTGGCATACAATTACTTCCAAATATTCTTTCAAGAACAACACGTGTATCACTTCTGCCATCAACTGGAACCTAAACCAATACATGCCAAACGAATCAGTGATTGACTATATGGTATTATTGTAGGACAGTGGTACCTTCAGGATATTTGAAGACAAACACTCTTCACAACAGGATAAGTTCATTTTTCATTAAATTCGACAAAACACATTTTGCCACTCGACAAAAACACATGTGGCTACATCAGGTAGTCTGAAATGAATATCAGGAACAAGAATTAATAATGTTTCTTTACTTATTAAAATTATACAGTAGAAAAAGCTTACTTTTGTTGATCTCATTTCCCCGTTTCCCCTTTTTTGCTTTATTATCTCTACCCTCTAGGCACCTTACTACCATGTTTTTATATCTCGATCTTTCATTTGGCTATCTGATTCCTACTGTGGAGATCAACACGTGGACATGGCTCTTACTTGGGTCTATGCTTTTGTTCTAGACGTATGTTTTATCCAACCCCTTTTGATTTAAAATGAATGTTTTGCATATAAATTCTTTTGGCTTTTTAGCAGAGATAATATTTGTAACACTATACTTTTATTTATACACCAATGCTTTTATTTCATTTTTCTTATATTCCATGTTTTCAACTCTTTGTATTGTACTTTTAATTTAAAGAAATTGAACATTATCTTTGAGTATAAGAAACAGTTTTAATTGATGTCTCAATAGGTTCATTTCAGACTACCAGCTGATGAAGCCATACAGAGTTGTAAAACAAGTTTTAGTCAAATTTCATTTCTGTTGAAAAGAAAGAGTGTGTAATTATCTTTAAATGTCCTGCACTAAACCATTATACCATAATTTATTGTACTTACTTTGTTTTTTAATTTCATATTCATTAACACTTACCCATGGCCCATCAAATATATCACCATTCCACAATAAAACATTGCCCTTTTCATCTTTCACAGGTTGCAGCTCTGGCATTTGTCCCTGCATCCATAAAACACTCCCCCAAAAATTAATTTGCCAGCTCAAGAACCTAACAGTGCAGTCTGAAAATCCGTCTGGGCCTCTATTGTGCACGAGAGGCAGCAATTCATCCTGCATCAAAAAATGGTGAAATTTGTGTAACAAATTTATACAGCATCTCTTCATAAATGAACACAATATTCCTTCCTCAAAATAAATTACACACAGAACTACAAAAAGGTTCATTCAGCACAACAAATTACCTGTATCACCTCTCCTGGCACATCCGATTCTCTTTTGCCACAAACAAATATACCACACATCTCTTGAATATCAAAACAAGATTAAAATTCGCTTTATTAAATTGACGCAGTAGATATTTCTTCTTTCAATTTTTAGAAAACATTTAAAACTGACATATACTTATTACTAGCATTTTTTTTCTGAATAGAATCTGGTTTTATTTTGATCTTTCAACTTTCACGCCAAAATTTTCCAGTCGCTTATTTAATCATACATAATACCACGACGATTTTCTTCAATGAAATATTCCTCAAAAATACAGAAATAGGTATTCTCTATTGCTGACAGTGGAGTACATACTACATACGGCCTGAATGTCACTTCAAGACAAACCAGAGTTACAGGGTATATTCGATATCACAGATAGTTTTATGAAAATACTCTCGTAATTCGTTGATTAAGGTTATCCATGTCGTGCCACATCATTAGAATTGAAGTCTATAGACCACCCACATTGTGTATGTTGAAGTCTTCGAATCTCCTGTTCTTAAATTTCCCCCAATCTCGGGGTGAGGTACAACGTGAGTGTGGTATAGACCAGCACAGGATTGGGCAACAAATACCAGGGCCGGTTCACTCAATGTTAAAAGGCGGGGGACTAAGTTTGTTTCCTCACTCCCGGACCTG